CTGCAGAGGTGTGGGGAGCTGCTGGGACTGTGTGTGCCCACCTGGAGCCTGGGTGCACGGCACCTGGAGACTTCCCTCAACCCAAAGTATGCAGATGGGCTGAGGAAGTGCAGTGCAGGATGCTAATTAATTCAACAGGCTCACTGTTCCATAACATCAAACCTACACAAGGAGGATGTGCTGGAATTAGCTTCCCCTGGAAAATATTTTCTTGCTGCTTAACAAAAAGTTACTTGAACTTATTAAACACTGAACAAGAATGTGAATATGAATGATGCTGTAGGTACCGTGTGGGCTGAATGCAAGCAGCTGGCCTTACAGACAGCAGCACTCCTCTGGAGCACCAGGAGGGCTCCAGCAGCAGATATATGCTGGGTGATGCTGAAACATGCCAATATTTGTTTGTAACTTTGAGAAACCCATGGTGTAAATGGCACTGGGCACTGGGCTGTGAGCACCATCTCTGCCCACTGCCTTCCAGCTCTGCACCTTCTTTCTCTAGCTCCATTACTGCTGGGCTGCAAGCTGGTGCCTCCATTACCCACAGCTCTGTCTGCATCCAGTGCTTGCCAAGAGAATCCTAAGGGATCTGCAAATATCATCTGAGAGCCCCACCGAAATGTCTGATGGAGCTGCAGGTGCTTTCCAGAGCAGAAAACTGCAAAGGCCCACAGCAGGAACGTTTGCTATCACCTGGGCTGAAAAGGGAGGATGGGAGAGTGCTTCAAAACCAGGAAGAAAAAGGCTCTAACAGAAAGGATTTGACAGATGTAATCAGGCCAGGAACTGAAGAAGCTAAGGATGGAGAGATGCATTCAAGCAGAGGAGGGAAGGAAGCAGGAAGTGTGCTGGGTCCGAAGGCATCCTCTGCACAAGCACCTATGGTTAGATCTCCAGAAGGCCCGTGCTCCTGCAGAGCTCACAGGGACACCACAAGCATGGGGCTGTGAGTCCATCCTTTGGCCTGGCTCTTTGCTTATGTATTCAAAATGGAAAAAAAAAAAATCCTATCTGAAAGCGAGGATTTTTTTGATGGGACCTCACTGGTTTGGGAGCTCTGCCGCTGCAAACAGAGCAAGACAGTGGGATGTGCCAGTGGCACTGCCTCACTGAGGTGTATGAAAAGACATTTTTCCTAACAGAATCATAACATCTTAGGTTGGAGGAGACCTTAAAGATCATCTAAATCCAATAGATCCAACCCCTCTGCCAACCATCAGCCCAAGGCTCTCTGTGGCTTTGGGCACCTCTGGAGATGGGTACCCCAGCTCCCTGGGTAGCAGTTCCAGGGTTTCTCCACCCAAAGAACGGGGGATATATAGAATGGGGATAAAACTCACAGTTCTCTGAGTTTGAGAGTATTTGTAGTGTGTATCTCTGAGAACATAGGGTTTTTTTTTTTTTCCTATCTGTGAGTAATTCTCGTGCTGTAAATCCAGCAAACCTACTTTGCCATGTAAGTTGTCATGCCTTGGAGGAAGACACCAGACTTATGATTTTGTTATTAAGCCTTGCTATAAGGAAATGTCAGTTGCACCATTTCTCAGCCTTACTCTATAGGGATGTCCTCCAACCAAATGGATGAGCAGAGCGTTTGTTGTCGTATCTGCTCTTCCTATCTAGAAACTGCAAAGCCCTCCTCAGCAGGACCTGCACTTTGTGAACTCAGACAGATTGTGTGATCTGGAGAGTGGCCAAACTGCAGCCCAGATCAAGCCCTTTCACAGAGTCACTAATGAACTGCTTTTTCAGACTGCGAGCATGCCAAGGGGTGACCGTTGTGCTGGTGTTTAGCCCTAAAAAGCCACTGCAGTTGGCTCAGGGGGTGCCAAGAACTTTTGAGCCAAATCAAACTTCTAAGCAGCGAACCACAAGCACCACTGGGAGCATCTCCTGGTGAGGGCGAGGCACCCGCAGGGCCGCCCCGCTGCCCTGGACGCGCTGCCCCGTGTGCGTGTGGCTGTGCAGCCCCTCGTCCCACCTGCCGCTGCTGTGCCTCCATCAGCACTGCGATGCGGCTCCGGCCGCTCGGTGGCACCTGGTGCCGCAGCACCGTGCGTCGCTGCACCGCGGCCCCGCGGCTCTCCAGACTGGCTGTGAAGGATGCTTACCCCATTAATGGGGGTATATTTATAACTGTTTATCTCTGTCAGTTGGGTGGAAAATTGCCAGATGTGTCATTTGCCTTCATTACACAGACATCTCTCTTGTTATCTGGATCAGTGCTTTTGAGCAGTGTGTCACCACCGGAGAAAAGCTCATTTCTTCTGCATGATGTTGATGTTTGCAGGATCTGCCTCAGAGCGGTGTGGAGAGCAACATCCACAGAGACAAGTCCCTGCACAGGACAAATCTCTGTCCCTGCCACTCCAGCTATTAATCTTGTGGAAGGAGAGAGACAAGGAGCAGAGTTGAGTGCTTCCTTCTCCTTAGCCCTACGCAGCAGCACAGTGCTCCTGTCCTGACTGCAGACACTCCTGCAGAGGCAGCAGAGCCCTGCAGACATCTCCTCTAAAGCAGAACTAAGGAGAAAGGTAAAGAATGGATTTAACAGAAAGAAATTGTCTCTGAGTATAATGTTTTTCCTTATTTCCAGTGAAACGGTGAGATTTCTTTACGGACAAATAGTCAGAACAGAGTCCATTACACTACATGGTTTTTGCCTTGAAATATAAATAGCTGCATGTCATATAAGTTTGTTATGAGGAAATGAGTATGCGAGAGAAAGTTAGACATTACGCCATTATTTCAAGCGGAAAGCTATTGCTAAAGGGAGAGGATTACTTACCATATTAATTTGTTTCTTCAACTTCCCATCCATCTCTGCACATAAAGACTTCAGCTGCAAAATGTGGTGTTGGGTGTCCCCAGTTCCATTTCATCTCCCTCCCAGGCCCAGTTTGGGGGCAGTGACTGTGGGACTCTGGGTCCCAGCAGGCAGCAGGGGCATCTCAGTTTTGCTATGGCTGTGCTGAGCTCCAATGTCCCAGTGCATTGCTGGGTTACAGCAGAATTCCTGTTAATCTATAGGGAAACCTTTCTGGGTAGAAGCCTTCTGATCCAGCAGCTCTATCCCTACCCTAAATGCACAAGAGAAGTGCTCAGATCTATGTGCCCATTAGTCCTCGTGTAGCACCTAAACCTTCCAAAATATCCCCGTTGTTGTTGGTACAGAGCTGCAGTGAAGTGATCATCAAAGAATTTCTTCTGAGTTCAAGTCTTCTACCTGAGGGTGGCAGAAAACACTGTGCCAAGCAGGGGAAGTGAGAGCATCGCTTTGCTTTGGTGAGCCAGCCTGGGAGACCAAGGGTTGCACCTTTAGGCACTGGGCACAGTGGTGGTGCTGTACCAGGTTGGGGGGGCAGGGACAGGGACTAGAAGGAGCAGTTCTGTTGTGCTGGCAGCTAGAGCAGGTCATCACGGATCTGCAACTTGGCCATCAAAATGATCCTTGTGTTGCTGTCTTCCTGGGCTTGGTGTTAGAGATCAGCTCTTTGTTCCAGCATGTGAAAGCTGAAGGCTGGAGCCCTTGCCCGATGCTCTGTTTTTCTCTGCTTGCTGATGTAGGTGCAGAAGCCTCAGCGCTGCACACAGGATAGAGGAAAGCAGTAACAGGGTCTTGTATCATCATCTTATATGCTACCTCATTCAAAGGGCTCTGTTTGAAACCTGGCACCAACATGTAGAGAACATGTTGCATTTTTGCCGGTACCTCTTCAATCTGGTTTGCGAGACGTCCTGGAGGAGGTGACCTTGGACGGCAGGCAGAGCAGCAGAGCTGCATAATAAGAGCATCTCTGCACCGGTGGCAGCCTGTTGGGTACAGGGCAGTTAATAAATAATGAGGATGTCAAAGAGAACAGCAGGGAATGGGAGCAGGTAGCAACTCTGCAGCCAGCTCTCTGACAGCCACCTGGCAACGTGCAATTACAGGGCACTGCGCTCAGCCTGGTTTGGGGCTCTGGGATCCTGCAGCGAGCAAGGCTTAGCAGAGCTGCACGGCACTTAGCAGAGCTGCACGGTGCTTAGCAGAGCTGCACGATGCTTAGCAGAGCTGCATAGGTTCACCCAGAGCCTCTCCCCATGGGAAGAGGAAGCTGCAGCTCTGAGACACGGCAGCGGTCACACAGAGGTTCTCCCAAGGATTGGACTGCGTGCACCCACAGCCCAGGTGTTGTGCATCTGAGCACCCCTCAGGTGTGATTGATTTTTTGATGACTCTTTAAACATCTGGTGAGATGGGACTGCTTTCCAAACAGCAAAATCTGCACCAAAATGGTCTTGATTTGAATAATAAGCATTCCGCTGTTGTTTGGTAAATACACCCAGTGTTAATGGTGCCTAATGGTGCCTGTAATTGGTGTCTAAAGTTATTTAAAAGTAAATTTACTAGAAAATAATTAGCAATTTTATAGTTCACTACTTCCTAATTTTGTTGATAAAAGTTTTCTAGCGGTTTTATCAGATGACACAAGAAGGCCGTGCTGCAAAATAGCTCCTTTTTTTTCAAGCGAGCAGGAAATTGTGCACACAAAATAGGATTGAAAAAAATTTCCCCCTAATTTCTTTGCCTGGCAGCCAGCCCTCTCCCTGCTTTCATTACAAACTGCTTTATCCTCCATCAGCAGCGAGGGAAACCACCCACGTGCAGCTGAGGGATCCGTGCCCCCATGACCTTGGCAATGCCTCCTGAGCAGGGAGAGCAGCGAGTGTGCAGGGGGGGCAGCCCCCAGTGCAGGGACATCCACAGGAACACCCCCTGCCCACAGGGACACCCCACTGCAGGGCTGCAGCTGGGGCTTTCTGCTGCCTGCTCAACACTGAGCGGTCTGCACCTGCAGGGGCCGTGCAGTCCTGGGGCCTGGCTTACTGGGGGGGGTTTCACAGCTGGGGTCTCCCCAGGCTCAGTGTGGGTCTGAGGAGGAAGAGAGCACAGAAATGCAGCTGCTACACCGTTTTATTGTTTAGTGCTGCGGGTTCCAGTGTGTGGTTGGAGATGTTCACACTGTGTAGTACAGAGGGACACGGACAGACAGAGACACGTTTGGGAGGTGGTGAGAGCACAGTGACTGGGGTTCAGAAAAGACCAACAACACTCCATTTTCAGTCTCTGCACCATGCAGCACCAGCCCTCCAGAACAATGAATCACCCGTCTGTGTATAAAATTAAATATAATTTATGCTTTGCTAATTGAAATCAAATACAAAATTCAATTTCCTGTGTATTGTAATGCTGACATTTGAATAGGTTTTTTAAAAAGGTATTATTAACCTGACTCTCTCTTTTGGCAGGCCGCTCTCTGGCCAAACAACTCCTCTGTCAAAGCTCCACGTTGGCGATGCAGACGCACGCGTTTGGGGCACAGAGCAGCCACGTCTCAGTCAGCAGAGCACAGCCCCACAGCCTGACCCCTCAGTGCCACGTGTGCTCCCAGCCTTGGGCTCGAGGTTGTGGCTGGTATAAAAAATAAAACTCTGCAAATATGGCAAAAAGTGTGGACCAGGAGGGTGGCAGGACGCGAGTGTGGGTCTCCTGGAGAGTCCAGGTGTTGTCACGGAGGAGATGTGTGATGCAGTGCCCCAGACCTTGTCCTCCTGCTGAGTGCTCACACTGTGTGGCACTGGGGCAGCCCACGCTCGGAAGAAGGTATGACATTTTAACAGCATGTGACACACCATGAGGTTATTCCTATTACATACTTCCAATTATCACACAATAATTTGGGGGTCTGAGGATCAGTAAAAAACTGTTATGCCAGGACAGGAGCTGCTTTGAAACCTAATCCAGAACGATGGAAGCTGATGTAACTTCAGCAGGGAGCTGCTCAGCACAGAGCTGTGCTGTACCCCTACACAGTGCAATTTTCAGAATGAATCCAGCTCTTTCTTCTCCCGGTCCAAGGCACCAGCACTGCCTTTAGTGTAATGACCCACATGACAGACCATGAAACCCAGAGCAGGTTCAGCTTTTTAGCTAATGAAACACTGTTTTCATTTGGTTAGTTGGATCAGTGGGGTTTTCTTCCCACCATAATCAGAACTGAGTCCTGGTCCTCCCAAAGCCACCTCACACTGCATCTCTGCTACTCCTGTGAGGCACTGGGAGCTGTGCAGCAGCCGCAGTACTACAGGAGGACAGGAGCAACACTTGTGCTAGAAATCACCCGTACAAGGGGAGCAATAGCTCTTCACTTTTCTTTTGCTCTCTCTCTTCCTGTTTTTCTCTCGATAATGGTCAGGAAAGCAGCAGCTGTTTCCAAGTGCTGCTGCCTTGCTCTCCGCCGGTCCCAGCACGCAGCTCTCAGCGCACTGCTGAGGATTCAGTTAAGATATGGGTTTGTTCCATAGCTTCTACCAGGATTTGCAAATTTGGCTGAGCGTATGACTCGGTCATTTCCACTAGAACACACACATATGTTTGTGGAGCAGTGCTCACCCTGGGAATTAATTGCTTTTTTGTAACGGATTTGAAGTGAAGACAAAGGCTGCTTTGGGACTTCGCACAGCCCGTTGGCAGCAGCCAGCAGCAGGAGCAGGTCCACGAGGTGCACATGAGCCACAATACCAGGGCCACGGTGGGAAAGCTGTCCCCATGGCCGGGATCCCATGGAGAGTGCCCGGCCCCCAGGCAGTGCCCAAGACCTGCAGTGAGGCCTTGGGATGTGGGGGGAAGGCCCCGATTCTGGTCTCACTGAGCAGCCCTATAAATTAGAAAGGTTCTCTCCCCATACATCAGAACGGTTCTCTTCCATCAGTGGAGCAACGGTCACCAGTGAGAGGAGAATCGCGCCCAGGATTTGTGGCACTTGGTAAATACGAGTTTTAGTGCAACAAGTAACTGGAACATCTGGTGCAAATTATGTTTCTGTACAGAGTTCCTTTGCAGCATAACTGGCTTTATTCCTTCCACATACAAATGCCAAGGTGCTTGTGAATGCACGGCCTGAATTCACCAGATCTCATGCTGCTGCGTGAGCAAAACTTTAAGCCAGGGCAGGGGAAATCAGACCTCTTGGTTTGTGGTGCTGCTGGGTTCTGCACACCTCCTGCTGCTGCCTGCGTGGCACAGGGACACGCCATCAGCAGAACGTGGACACGAAGCGCCCATCACCCACACCACACCTTCTCCTCCTGCCCATTCCCTGATCCCTCGGGAGGATAGAGCCCAGGCCAAACACCCTAGAGGTGACACATCACCAAGGTTTCAGAGCTGGCCATGCTGTTCACCTCCAGCTGCAGCCCCAACCACGCGAGTGTTGTGCTTACAAGCCCAAGCCTTCAGCCCTGCATGAGTTCCGGGTCTCTAAGGATGATTCACATCTCAAAAGGAAAGAGCTCTCTTCCCGATTTCTTGGTTCTACTTCTCACTTTCTTCGCGCTCCCACTCGAAATCCTGGCCTGTCATTTGGTAAAACATGACATTGAATGGTTTGTAAAACTTCCGCAGTCTGTGGATGACGTCAGGGTCTATTTTGGGGTGAGTCCGACCCTTGGACTTGCCCAAGCACCGGGGAGCACTGCTGTCCTCCGGCTTCTTTAGACAGGGGAACCCCTTGGTTTTATTAAAATAAAAATGTTTCTCTGTCACAATCCTCTTGAGGCCTAAGAAGTCCTGGACCTTGGCCATCTCCCCAGCTGGGTCTGTGATGAGCCTCTCACCACTGACAAAGAGGATCTGGGAGAGGGGGAAGTACTGCAGCCAGTTCTCCAGGTGCAGAGCGTAGATGCCGATGCGGATGGCGCTCCAGGAAGCGTCAATCAGCCCCAGGGTCCGGTTCTTGAAGGCCAACACCTCAAAGGTGGGGATCTCTGGCTTCTTGGAGAGCGTCTGCGTGTAGTCCGAGATGGCGCGGGTGACTGGGTTGCGAACTACCACGATCAGCTTGGTGTCCTTGGCCATGGAGTGGATGCGCCTGGGGGCCTCGTTGGTCACAAAGTAGCTGGGGGTTTTCTCCATGGTGATCTGGCCTTCCAATGTCTTGGGCATCACGTCCCTGAGCAGAAGCAGAGGGAGGGGGTTAGTAACTGAGGGCGGACACCGGCAGCTCCTCCTGCCCCATGCATGACAATGGGGACACCACTCAACTCATGAGCCTGGGGACCAAAGCGCTTCTGGTTTTGTCCTCCCTCGGACCCCAGATATGGTGGGCACCCGAAGTGTTAAATTAGCCTTGGTAACACATTATACAGTCAATTCGCCATAGGCATGTGTAGACAAAAGTTAATTGACAATAAACCTGTACAATACCTGTCTGTTCAACAAGCCATCTGCTTCCATTTGCTCAATTAAGTCTATTCACTTCAGAGCCTTGTACCAGAGTGGTGCAGTTAGGATTACACAAGACCTTTTTGTTATGATGACATGCTTTTAAATGTCTCAGCTAATAAAACTTAATACAGAGTAAGATCCCCTGCTTCTAGTACAATAATTAAATTTATTTACTATCTTGTGTGTGAGAAAGAATGACTTTTCTTTTATCTCTAATTCACATGCTCTGTCAATAATTAATTGCTGCTGGGTTTTGAGCTTCCTGTGCAAGCACTTTTATTAGCCAAAAGGAATTTGCCTACCGGATAAATTAGCATGTAGCAAGACTTTCCTGGATAGCATATTACCATACTGTAAAATGAAACTGCAACAAGATAGCAGTTATATCTAAGAAAACAAAGAGGTAAATACTTGTCCCAGCTGCCCCCATAGCAAGGCAGAAGACGTGAAGCGATGTCCCTGCTAGAGTGCTGCATCCCCTTCCCAGCCCTGGCAGCTGTCACAGTGTCACTGTGCGAGCATTCAGTACCACGGCGCGTATGCTTAAAGGTTTCACAAGCACAAGGACTGATTGTTTTTTAAGTGTGCTCCAACAATATTTTTTCTTAACCTTTTGAAATACTTGAGCATATGCACACCCACACCAAGTGCAGTTTGTTTAACGTGCTGTTTGCTAATTTGTCCCGAGCACCCTCTGCCTTATGGGGATGCTGGGCATGAGATGCAGTAGGGTGGGAGGATGCAGCAGGAGGGGGGGATAAAGCGGGGGGCGGGGGGGGAGGGAGGATGCAGTCTGGCTGTGTGACCCACTGGATCCTGCAGCACTGAGCAGGTGTGAGGCAGCAGCACAGAAGGAGGTGCTCAGGGTCTTGCAGGATAATCCCATTGCATTCTCACTATTTTTAGTTCAAACATATGCTGAGGAAACAATGTGAATGGCTGCGACTGGTTCAGTGAGAGCACCTTGGGCACCAGCGACCGCAGCGATGCTGACGTCAAGCAGCAGAGCACTCGGAAGCAGTCAGTTCATGGAATTACACAGCTGAGGGCTCCAAGCAGAGCTTTCTGCCAGACGAGGCCCAGACACATATTTCTGTCACTGTGCCTCATGACTGTACCTGCTGAATGCCAGCAGCTGCCCTGTGCCTCATCCCAGCCCACCCCGCCCCTGCAGTGGCATCAACCACAGCAGTGCAACGATGCATCACAAGATGTTTTCCTCTAAGAAAAGCCAGAAGGGATTAACATGAAGCCAGCAGCAGGAGACTGGAGATGCTGCAGAACCAGAGGGTGGCATTCCTAAAGGGATCCAGCACCCAGAGAAACATCCCTGCAGGAAAGGAGAATGGCTCTGGTGTGATGCTACTTCCAGTCTGCAGCCCTCAGGACGGCACCTGCCACTGGCAGCCATGTCAGCAGTACCTGGCAGCAGTTTGCAGCCCAGGGAGATAATAATATTGCTCTGAAAGACCAACGCACTCCCAGAAGAGCCCACACCTGCAGAAGGAGCAGCAGCCAAACGGCACAGGAGTGAATGACTGGGACTGAGCTGGGAGCTGGGAACAGCCTCAGGAACAGGGAGGGGAGCAAGGGGAAGAACTGGAACCAGGGAATAAAGACTCTTCCTGTGACTTTGTCCAGGGTGTTCCAACAACAGATTTCTATTGAACCATTAATTACCAAAATTGATGTGTTGCTATTCTGTTCCTTCCTCAACAAAATAGTTATTTTGTCATCATGTACAGCTAGCAATCTCTCTGTTTCCTCTTTAACTGATTCTATCACAAGTTAACCACAGCTCACTGCTTCTGGCTGTTCTGTATACAGTGCAAATTAACTACAGCTGATCTGGGGGCAACTGGGGTCCACCACCAGGCAGTTGCTGGGAGGTGTCCTTCCTGGGTCCCCTGGCTTGGCACTGGTCACTAATAGAAGTAGCAGTGTGCAGAAGTCCTTCTATGATGCAAATGGACTGCCAGACAGGTAGAGAACACCATTACCCCGTGGTGTTCCATTAACTCAAGACCCATGCACACTTGTTTATGCTTTCTCAGACAGGATAAGTGTTTTCCTATGCAATTGTCTGAGCATACGGAGGGGCCTGCACAGACAGACTTGGCTGCTGTAGGCTCCTCTGAGTCAGACACGCTGGCAGCAAGCAGCAGGCTGTCAAATGTCAAAATGTGGCAATTATGAGATGTTAAAAGCTCTGCTGGCCTGTAAGTGATGTACACTCAGACAATAGTGCTCGAGGGGCCCCCTGCCACCACCTGGTATGACCCTGGTGTGGCAGGGGCAGAGCCCTCCCTGCCACCCCAGTCTGCTCTGCAGCACGGAGCTGTGGGGCCCTGGGGAGCTCCCAGCACTGCTTCACATCGCTCACGGCCGCTTGGCATCTCCACTACAACACAAATCAGTCCGGCCACAACCACTAAATGATTGTTTCAGAGTAATACATCTTTGTATCTGGGCTCCTATCTGACAAGATGCTGTTCTGCAAATGTCTGTGGATGCTGGAACTGAAAGCTCTGAGAAGCAAGAATTGGCTGGGCTCTGCACCCTGCGCTGATGCTGTGCAGCTGGAAAGCAGGGGCTGCTGACAGCAGCTGCACTGCATTTGCTCCAACACCAGCAGCACTCTGCAGCTGCTGCCACATTTACCTGGGCAGCGGGGTCCAGCATGAGATTTGTTTGCTTCATATTACAGAATGCGACTGTTATTTGTGGGTTCTTAGATGACAGTGCTTTACAACAGATGAAAATTAATCTGAATTCAGAGGAAGCACTGCTGCTCTCCTGCACCCACGCTGTCATTCTGGAGCATCCGCTGCCTGTGGCGCTGGGTGCCAGCCAGCAGTAGAGCTCCCCCCCCCCCACCAATGCGACACTGTGGCAAAACCCCTTCATGGGCAGTTCTGTAAACAAGGATTTTGCTTCCCTCTGCTCTGGAGCCAGGAGGGAGCCTTAGTATTATACTTACTTCGCTCTTACTTTAAATTACAGTTTCAATAAACTGTTCCAACAACAACAACAACAAAAAGCCTCTCTGCAGCGAGGATGCTCCAGACAGTACACTGGCAGCAAGTTACAGGGCAAGCACCCCACAGCCCTATAAGGGACCTGCTGCTCTCACTCCTCCCAGAGATCCTCTGGCTGCTGTGTGGCGATGGGCACAAAGTGCATTTGCTGCCCCGTCCCTGATGGTTGGTGGCAAAGGGCAGCTGTAAGCTCTCCTTGCAAAAGGCTGCTGCAGTAATTGTTCTTAACTGCTGCCTTCAGAAAGCTCTTTATTTTCAAAGGATACATTTTATAAATTTGTGAATTTGCATGTTGCCAAAATCCCCTTGTGGTTTATTTAAATCCAGATTATCTTGTTTATTCCTTCAGTCACAGCTGTCATTTATCTCTGTGTAGGCAGCTTGCGCACGATGTTGCAGGTTTCCTGCAATCCCACTCAAAAGGAGTCTTTGTTAACGGTATTTTCATGTTCCCAACAAGAGAAAAAAAGCTCACGGCAGCTCCCAGGGCTCAGAGGACCACAGAGAAGGACATGGACCTGCATGATGCTCTCTGAAGCAGGCAATGGCCAGGGGCTGCCACGGAGCACCTGCACATGGAGCTCATCTCCGCAGCTCCTCTGCACGGAGCAAACATCTGCTTTTGTCTTTCAAAAGACAAACATGAAGTCATTTTCCATTTTATTATTAACACATTCTGGTATAATTGCTTGAGCTGTCAACTGTGACCTGCCAGTAATTCAGCAGGCGTGGGACTTTCAAGGGGAGAACGGCATTGCTACCGAGGGCTGCAGCGCGCATTAAAAGCAGAACCTATTTGCTGTAAGCCCCCAAGTCAAATCTCTTGTTGAATTCGTTCAAACATAAATTTACAGCTGAATTTACATAGGTTTAATGTTTTATAATCTTTTTGGTCTGTGAATCTATATTCAAGACTGAGTGCATTAGCTCAGAAATATTGTGCTTAACACTGAAAATAATTTTAATCTCTCCAAAGTCCAATCCTCTGCACATCACTAAACCTCAGAATCCAATCCCTTCTAATAAGAGACACAAAACTTGCATCTGTCGCTGCCTAATAGATTCATGCTGCTCTAATTCAAATGGCTTGCACATGTGTTTTAATAAAAAACATCCAATGAATTGCATGGCGCTTTCAGAAAAGCGAGTGCCAGCACAGAGGGAAGCAAAACATCCCTGAGAGATGCTCTGTGTCAGCTGCACGGCCTGGGAGCCATTGCAACCCCAATGTGGAAGAATGGGGAGACCTCAGCCCTGCACCAGTAGCTCTGCTCCTGCAGATGTAACACCCAGAAATAAGAAGTGCATGGGACTGTGCTTTTGCAGCAAACGAGCAGCTTTCCTTTGTCCCAGAGTTCACAAAGCCACTTGGAGCCCCTGCAAAGTGTTCTCATGAGGGGCAGTTGGAAAGAGCTCATGTGTGCAAGCCCAAGGATGCTCTCTTCGTGCCAATCACTTCCCCACCAAGCCTCCCCCCAGCACCTCCTGGGCTGTATGTGTTGGAAGCACCCAGGGCATGGCAACACCCCCAGCATCGTTCCCACCACCCATGTGTGCCCACCAAGCCCCCTCCTGCACCACGGCAGCGCAGCGATGGAGAATGGTCTCCGGTTGCCATAACAACGGAGGTGCTAACATCGTGTTGACTAACTGCAAGCCGATCTGATCAGAGAATGGAAGTATCGAG